TAAGAATAGTTAAAAGAACTATAGGAATATATCTAGGAAAATATTAAAAAGGGGTTTATTAGACCTTTAATATTACTAGTAGGGTACCTAATACTCTTTATACCTAAGAAAAATAGAAAACTATAAATATATATTAACTATTAATAACTAAATACTAATATTATCAAAAATAGATATCCCCTACTATTAATCTTAAAACTATAAGATAGATTAGGGAAGATATAGTAGTTTATAGCCCTAAACCTAAAAGGAGCTTATAACCTTATTAGAATTAAGAAAAGAGATAAGTAGAAAATAGTATTTAGGATAAGGTATAGATATTATAAGTATTATATTATACTATTTAGGTTAACTAATATACCTATTATATTCTAAATAATAATTAACTATATATTTAGGGAGTACTTTAATTAGTTTATTATAGTATACCTAGATAATATCCTAATCTTCTCTAATATATTAGAAGAATATAAGGAATATATTAAAAGGTATTATAAAAACTATAGAAGGCTAAGTTATTAGTAGAACCTAAGAAGAGTTTCTTCTATATATAAGAGATAGACTTCCTTAGTTATACTATTAAACTAGGTAAGATATAAATATAGGAATCTAAAGTATAAATAGTCTTAGACTAGCCTATATTATAAATAGTAATAGAAGTAAGAGGCTTCTTAGGCTTTACTAACTTCTACTAATAATTCCTATAAGACTATAGTAAAAGGGTAAAACCTTTAATAGACCTTATAAAAAATAAAAACTAGTTTATTTAGGGAAAAAAATAATAGGAAATATTTTAAGAAATAAAATAAAGTATCTATAAATAACTAGTACTTTATAATATAGACCCTAATAAACTATTTAAAGTTAAGACTAATATATCTAACTATATAATTAGAGCTTAACTTAAATAATAAGACCCTAAAGGATAACTAAGACCTATAGCCTTTATATTAAAGAAACTTAATAGACTTATAATATAATATAGGATCCCTAATAAAAAGTTAATAGCTATTATAGAAGCTTTTAAAGAATAGAAATACTACCTTATTAGAGTAAAGTACCTAATTAGTATATTCTTAGACTATAAAAACCTTACTAGCTTTATAATAACTAAAGAGCTTAATAAGTAATAAACTAGATAAGCTAAAATATTATTAGAATATAACTTTAAAATTATATATATTAAAGGAATAGAAAATAGAAAAGTAGATATACTTAGCTAAAGGCCTAACTACTTTAAGAAAATACCTAATAAAATAAAAATAGTATTTTATAAATATACTAATAGAAGCTTATAATAGCTTACTATAAGCTATTAGCTATAGTATAGCTACCCTACTATATAAGCTATTAAAGAGTACTATAGAGAAGGAAACTATATAAATAACTATAGTTACTAAGGATAACTAGTATTAGAATATCTAGTAAGAAGTCTTATATAAGTAATATATAAGTCTCTAAGAGGAGGATACCTAGGTATTACTAAAATAGTAAGTAAGATATTAGATAACTATATAATTAAAAACCTTAGGAAATTAGTATAGGAGGAAGTTATTAAGTATAACTTATATATTAAGAATAAAATAAATAGATATAAACTATATAAACTCTTATAACCTATATTAGTACCTAAAGTACTATAGTAAAGTATAACTATAGACTTTATAGTTAAGTTACCTAAATTAGAAGATCTAGTTATAAGTTAAAAATATAATAGTATTATAGTAGTTATAGATAGGCTAATAAGGTATATATACTTTATACCTTATAGAGAAGTAATAAATATATTAAAGTTTACTAACCTATTCCTATAAACTATACTAGCTAACTATAATCTACTAAAGGAAGTTAATATAGATAGAGGAGGTATATTTATCTCTAAGTTTTAGTAGAGTCTTATAGATCTATTAGGGATATACTATAAGTTATTAATAATATACTACCCTAAAACCTAGGGAATAGTAGAATAAGTTAACTAAACTATAGAAACCTACTTTTAGTATTATATTAATTAAGACTAAGATAACTAGGTAAAATACCTACTATTAATATAATATATATATAATATAAATAAATATAAAAGTATAGGAATATCACTATTCTATATAAACTATAGAATTAAACTAGAACTAGGGTTTAAACTATAAGGATAATATTTAGTAGCTAAATAAGTAATTATAATAGTAGAATAAATAAAGAAGTTATACTAATAACTTATAATAGAACTTAAATTTATATAAGAAAGAATAATAAGCTATATAAATTAAAAGAGGATTAAGGGACTAACTTTCTAGGAGGGGAGTAAGGTCTACCTACTCTAAAAGAAAGTAGGAAAAGGGATCCCTAAATCACTATAAAAAGACTAAATAATAAACTTAATTATAAAAAACTAGGACTATTTATTATTAAATAAAAAATTTTAGAAGTTAACTATAAACTAGAGTTACTAACTATAATAGGACTTAAGTACCCTATCTTTTATATATTACTATTAGAACTAGTATATAATAATATACCTATAGAAGAGTTAATTATAGTTAAACTAGTAGAAGATAAGTAGGAAGTAGAAAAATCCTTAACTCTAGTTATAATAATAATAGAAAAATCAAATATCTAGTAAAATAGAAAAATTTTAAATATAGTAAAAATATATAGGAACCTATTAAATACTTTAAAGGGAGCTAGGACCTTCTAGCTTAGTTCTAATAGAAATACCCCTAAAAACCCTAAGATCCCTAGGTATATTAAAGATAAAACCTATTATATCCTAGTTAATAACCCTAGAGGTATTAAAGGACTATATATCTCTAATAGCCTACTAAATTACTAGGGTTATAGCCTCCTCCCTATTACTCTTATAAAGGCCTTAGAGGCTATATTTAAATAGTACTATATTCTTCTCTTTAAAGAAGCCTATTAATAGTAGAGATAATCAACCTAGGCTAGGGCTTCTATAAGGTCCTCCTCTACTTTAGAAAGGTCATCCTCTACCTTATAGGTAGTAGTGAGGGAATAAGTAACTAGGATAGGATATATTAGGAAGGGAAAGAAGAAAAGGGATAGTAGATATATAGGAAGAAGCTACTAAGTTACTATCATACCCCTTCTTTAGATAGATATACTCCTAGTAATAGGAGGAGCTTAAAGAGAATTAATATATAGTCTTCCCTAGTAATAGTGAGAATATAGTATATTCTTATAAACTAAACCTTTAGAAATAATTTATTAAACTAAAGCTTTAACTTTATAGGCCTTATAAGTATTAGTTAATAGATAGGAGTGATATTTGAAAATATAGCCTATTATAGTATTAGTATAGTAAGAGGAAAAAGAAGGGAAGATTAGAACTAACTAATAGGATAAAATAATAGGGTAGAACCTAAGGTATAAAAAGTCTTTAGGGATAAAGACTAAAGGAGGGGAGGTATTATATTATAAGTAGCCTAGAAAGGAGACTAGGAAGTAGTCTAGACTAGTAGAAAAGGATAATATTTAGAGAAATATAGTAGCTAGTCTAGAGGGCCTATAAGGACTGACTAGGATAAGGTGTTAGTCCTAATAAGGAATGATAATAGAATAGTGTTAGTCTACTAATAGAATAATAGGAGTAGAATATCAGTCTACTCTAGACTGATGATAAGGGACTATTAGTCTTAGGATATATAAAGTCTATATAAGGAAATAAGTAGACCTTAGAGGAAAGGAAGTTCTATATCCTTTCTAGTAGTTAATTTAAGTATACTTAACCCCTATACTTAAATATATATTATAGATAATGATATTATTATACTATTTGATTACCTTACTAAGCTACTAATAGGCCTGACTGTTCTAACCCTAACGCAACCTAACCCTAAGTAGCATGTCCTAGTGTTGGAATGTCATATTCCTTTCTAATAGGTAGAAGGTTATAATACTAAAGGATGTTATAGATCTTATAGTAGTCCTATAGTTTTATATACTATTTTAGGAAGTTATATACTTCTATAAGCTTAGTTAGGTTGAAGTTAGTAGGAGATATAGTTAGAATAGTATAGATAGATAGGATAGTTCTTAGAAGTGATAGATATATAGAAGAAGATATAGAAGAAGATATAGTAGAAGAAGTAGTAGAAGATATAGTAGAAGATATAATAGAAGAAGGTAATAGAAGGTTGTTATAGATAGTTTCTAGGTGATATAGATAGGTAGTGATAATAGTAGATACCTTCTTTGATATAGTGTAAGTAGTAGTATAAGTAGTGGTCTTAGGATATAGATATAAGAGGTATCTAGTGATAGTGATACTACTATAAGTATATGAGGATACTACTAAAAGGTACTTTTCTAGTAGGCTAAGAGGGATAAGGTAATAGTGCTTAGGCTGAGAGTGATTTTAGGCTTATAACTATTAAATAGAGGGTAAAAGATGGGGGTAAAATGCTGTTTGTATTCGCTACTTGGTTCTATTATTTAGAGCTGTTCTATAGAGGAATCTATAGTCTTTTATAGTTGCCATTTCTGGAACTGTTGGATACTATCTTCTGGAACGGAAGTCGATATCTGTCATGTGGATCCGTCGGAAACCGGTATCCGCATCGGATATCTGTTTCCACAACGGATATCTGTTTCCGTGACGGACTTCCATTTCCGTAGGAATCCTTCTATCATCCTTCAACACTTTGGGACCATCTTGCGAGGCCGAGAATCGACTCTTGTGGACACGGGCCTACGAATCAACACTGTCAATTAGATTAGGAGGGTATCCAGATATAAGACTCGTACCGCGTGTTATACAGAAGAATCCATTGTCAGAGCGCATGCTGTTGATGGCCGAGATATGCACCGGGTCGAAAAGCGTTCGGCGGGGCTAGCTTAACGTAAATTGGCACTCTTGAGTCTATAAGGAATTGATAAGACGGCAGGGGAGGAGATAGTATCGCAAAAAAGCATGGTTTCTTCAAGAATCCCATGCTTTCCTTGACATTGGAATCTCAGGCTGATTCTCCCACAGAACCTCATTACGCGAGCATGAGGTTAAGCCACTCATATCCCACTAAGTAGGGTCTTAGCTATGATCGCTAAAAACCCATAATCTCTGCTTGTTGGCAGAGGTAGGAAAGCCCTTCACTAGGTGAGGTAGCTGGCAAGGATGTTACCAGATCTTGTACTTCGAATAAACTTGATCCACTGAACAGGCTGTGTGGTTTGAGAAAATAGGATCTCGATCCAGGCCAAGCACCATGCGTAATGCTAGTATCCGGAAGACTACCTATTATCACGATAGCTACATCGCGAGCGCAAACTCTTGAATCTCTTGTTGAAGTGGGTGCATTGTTTTTCTCGGCCACCCTACCAACCTTTGGCAAGATACCGGACCGCGAGAGTTCTGCTAGAGTGACATCGTAAATCAAGTATTCTAGGTCTATATCTCTAGCCTTTTTCTCCCACGTCAGCACTGATGGATCGTGGCCACCACGTCTAGGGAGGAATTTTTGAAAGGATTTTTCTACTCCTGAAATTCATTCAAATGTACCTTACTATTCGCCATCATGGCAACTCCATCTAATAGCGCAAATCTGGCAAGCCAAGCATGCGTACGTATCCCTCTCACCGCCTAGATCGCACACTCAAGTCGATGCTGCTAGATAGAAAAAGAGAACAATAGTTGCCTAGTTACTATGTAATAGGGCGAGTCCGAGCTCTACTCATACACCCTCTTTGTTCCTTTCCACCAAACTGCCCTAGCTCCGTCTCTGTCAAGCTCCCCACACCATACACACGTTCTTTCGTGTCTCCCTCACGATCACTCCCTCGAAATCTCAGATAAAAGTGCCCGGCCCTCCTCTTCTAGGTCACGTCTCTCCGCTTTGAGACTCTTCAATAATTGGAATGCCCTAGTAGACCATAATTTTCTTCTAGTTTCCATAATTTCTGTGGCGCTTATGCGTTTCCGTTCGAGTTGGGCGTATGAATCCTCTATGATAACTTTTCTCTTTTCCGCTGCCGCCACGGCCTCCGTCACCAGTGAATTTAAATAGCCATGGGCATCTAACAAACGTTTATCGGTGCATGTATGGCCTTGCGACCCGGAAAGCATACGCTGAAGGGCCGCCACTACATCTTCATCCTTGGCTAGCAAATCTTTCTCTCTTCTAATGGTAGCCTTCACCTCACAAACGAATCGGATTATACTGTTCGTTTCATCGCCCAACTTTGCGAGTTCCCGCGCTACATCTGTACTATCAGCATCCACGTTTACCAGAGAATGTGATTCCAACTCGTTGAATACCCTTTCAAGGGCCGTTTCGAAGCTGTACGTAGCCCCACCTATCGCTCCTTCGTCTCTTCGGTCGGGGATAGCAGTCGAGGGTCCAGTGGTAATGGGGTCTGACTTTCGGCAGTTGAGTTGCGAGGTAGCAATGTTACATACCCAACTAACTCTTGGTCGTCTTCACTAGACCATTTAACGCTCCGTTAGACCAAATTATGACCCGTGGGGGTTTCTGTTCTTTATATCCGTTGTTCCCCTTTTTTCTCTATCCGTCATCAAGGGGGAACAGACAGTACATACCTCCGGGACTCCTCACCTTGTCTTGAAGACGCCGAATCTAAATCATTAGCATGAAAAGCGAAAGATCCCGGGTCATAGCCAGATAGATTGGATTCTGATGACGCCCTCCGTGCCGCTTCCACTGCCATCGCGCACTCGTGACCTCCACCATGGCTTTCATCTGCCTCAGAACCCTCAATCTCTTCGATACCAGGCTCTGTGAAGACACGAAATGCCATAGCTTTAGCGGCCCCTATAGCTTGATCAGACACCTTGTTGCTTTCGGCGGCCGAGAGAGCCTGGCCAATGACCCCTACGTCCTCATCCTTGTTCCAAAGCGCTAGCAGAACCTCTTTTGGGTTTCCTGCGTCAATATAAAGATGGGTTATGGTGAAGAGATCATCTATGAGGCGAAAGCTATAACCGTACTTGCCCCTCCGACGCGGAGAGAATTCAAGAGGGATAAATATGCCCCTTGGCCACAACTTTTCTAATCCTGCAATTTTTTCAAAGTGCACAACCAGCTTCCTTATTCGCCTGCGGCTTTGCGCTCCGTTTGATAGCTTCTCCAAGACCTGTCGAAGTATCTTGGCAGTTTCCGCGGCCGGCCGCGTGTCGGCAAATTCGTCGGTGATCCTCTTCATCGAAGCTACATCATTCTGAATGAGCAGACGCCCGGCTAGGGATTCAACCTATTATAAACGTTGTGTTTAATATGGGTACGCCTGTGCGGAATACATCTTTTTTCCACCTAAGGAAACTCACATGTCTAGAAATATCGGACATCTCGGGGGACTCTATAGAGTACCGATACACCCCATTTCAGTGTCACTGTCACTGAAATCCACGTAAAGTTCACAGCTGGTGGTCAGAAGGGCTGGCCTTGTTGACGGGAAAAGTTGGAGGGCTTGAAATGGGGCACTGACTAGCCTCGCACATTGCGGCGTGGAGCCTTTTTCTCATCACACTGAGAGCTTGCGTACACCATATTGATGTAACGAGAACCTGGAAGGAGCAGTCCAAGAGCCCGCTCAAGGCTTCATTCAAGTACCCTGGGGCCTAACCTTAACAAGTCTAAGTGATGAGTGGGTCACACTTTCCTCAAGACATTGCGGTGGTTTATGCCCCTTCTGGTCATATGATGCTAAGTAGAGGACGGATTGACTTGAATTTAATAAGTGATGGATCTCACCTTCCCTAAAATGTTCGTCGAGGCGCAAAGTGGTACTAACTAAGGCAATAGCTGTCCTAGATTAGATCGACGCAACTACCATCAACCCTCCGCTAGCTATAGTGATCCCAAGGTATATAACCATTTTCTATCTTGTTCAGCTGCAATTTGATGCGATTGATAAACGGTTCATTTAGCTAGGCTAATCGGTTTTGTTCCAAGGTGCCAAGGTATATCAAATCACTCCGTGAGTCCATTCAACCCCAGCCTAATGGCCCTCTCGATTTCCTCTCCGACAGTGCTCTCTGCGTGCTTTTCTGCATCGTAAGAACGAATCCAGTCCTCACGAGGGAATGATAGACTACTTGGGTCCTTCGCTACCTTTTCCCAATTGGTATTATGCCACATCTATAACATAGGCATCAGTGGCAAGTTCATGGACAGGATGGGAGTATGTTTTACCTCTCTGGTTGCCTCGCCAGTGCGTTGGACAGACTTGACACGTTCGTATCGGATATTTTGATAGGCGCGTAACGCTGCAGAAATGTTTGCCTTGCCTGCGGTACGAAGACATATCGCAATAGTCACTCCGTCCTCCATTGCCTGCGCTGCTCCTTGTGCGCTCGTGGGGAGCATGGGGTGCGCAGAATCGCCCACGAGAGCAATTCGTCCCTCCTCGCTTACCCACGTTGGCAATGGGTCATGATACTCGCCGTCCCATTCCAATATTTTATCTTCCGGGGTCTTGCTTATGAGGCGATTGCAAATGGGATCCCAGTTTTTGAATATGTCATACAATCTTTCCTTTCTCGCGAGAGATGGGCAAGCAGCCACAGGATCAGCCTCAGGGTCGGGTTTGTATGTAATAGCCCATGAGCAGTCCTTGCCATCCTTGAGCGTGGAGAAGAGAAAGTGGGCATTGCGACCAATCCAGCCCGTAAATGTGTCCCCGTTGGAGCAGAACCTGGCCGTCTCCGGGTCTTCCATTATTTCTTCCCCGGTGAACCAACTCCGGAAACATTTGTGGCCAGATGCGGTTGGCTGTAGGTGACGTCCAAGTACGAAGTCTCGTGCTTTGGAATGAAACCCGTCCGCCGCAATCACAACGTCGGCCGTTAACTTGTCTCCGGACTCGAGTAGAATGCCTGCCGCATGCTTGCTTTCGAAATATTGTTGGCAACGCTGACCGAGGTGAATGGGAATTCCCATGTCCAACGCATATTGGAACACAATTTGGTGAAAGTCGGCTCGGTGGCCAGTAAACATTGGTGCCTCAGGATCCTTGGGTGGCATCCTCTGGTTGAATACGAGCTGGCCATTTGATCTGTGCAGGTTGAAGCCGTTTCTTTCCAACTTTATTGAATGTGGATCAAACAGATTCGATACCCTCTCATCGTCGTCGGCGGCGGTTGTTTTCCATCGTCGTAGAATCTTGCCAGCGTTGGCACCAAAAGAAATCACGTCGCCCAGAGGCTTGAGTTCTGCAAAGGCCTCATAAATAGCAACAGACAGCCCTTGTCTTTTGCATTCAATAGCGGTCGTCAGCCCGCCGAATCCGGCACCGACGACAATGACACTGATTCGATTCTCCATGGTGCTGTAGAATTCGGTGCAGTCCTCTACCCTGCCATGTAAGCCTACTAACTTGCGCATCTTTATTTACATAGACGTACACAATTGATATCACCAGTAGCTATTACATTTCGGGCATGTAGTGCTAACAGTGCATTGTGGAAATGGTCCATGAGAAAAAGTGGCCGGTCGCGAAATAGGCCCGCTCCGGCGAGTTTCGTCTTTCATGCCGCTTATGCCGGTTCACGACGCCGGTTCACGATGCCGGTTCACGGCCCCCAGTTCGCGGCGCCGCTCACTTTCTACTGACTTGATATACTTCGATTTGACACAAAATGAGGAAGAGGGAAAACAAACAAACGAAAAAAAGGGGGAAGGAAACAGCAGCAGCAGATATTGCCATGTAGTTACCGACGATCGAACAAACATGATATCAAACATTGAATCCGATGAAGAAGCCAGTCTTCCGACCATCCTATGCCTTCATGGGGCTGGCACGAATGGCGTTATATTCCGACTACAGGCACGCATGATTGTCCGCAAACTATCCGCAATCTTCCGCTTCGTCTTCATTGATGCACCATTTGAATCGGTAGCTGGACCGGGCGTTTTTCCAACATACCAAGGAATCGAGCCTTACCTCTGGTGGCACTGCGATGAGAGTGCCACCACGGTATTTGATATTTCGCTAGAGGAGGTTCGAGTCAGACGACAGACGGTGCGGAACCTGCTTGCTACACAGCTAAAATTAACAAAGGCTGTCGGTATCATGGCCTTCAGCCAGGGCGCGAGAGTCGCAACGGGGCTCTGCTTGGATAGTGTGCTGGGAAAGCAATTGAGATTCGCCATTTTGATCGCAGCCACTTTTCCGGCGTTACACGTCAATGACGAGGAGCAATCCCCTTCGTCGTCTTGTGCAACCAATACAAATGTCTGGCCGAGTCCAGTCGGTCCACCGAAGCCGATCAACATTCCATCCGTCCACATACAAGGCACAAAAGATCCGTGGAGTTCCGAAGGCTCTCATCTCAGAACTACATACTTTGAAGATAGCATGGCGGAATTGGTACCTTTTGTTGGCGGACATGCCATTCCTATCGCTTCCCCAGATGTAGAGAAAGCAGTGGCCACCATCTTGAAAGCGTGGGCACGAGTCAAACAAAGGGACTAGGTTGAAATCTCCTCAGTGGCACCATTCTCTTTTGTTCTATATGGAGCCGATGTGATGAGTGCATGCACGTGTACCTCTACTACAAAATTAATCGATGGCAATGAACATTTCCTTGATAAAAGCTCCCGACGCTGTCCGTCCTTGCTTCCGCGTCTAACCTATAGGCCAGCATTGCTATTTTCTGTGTTCACAGAAAACTTAAAGGTCGAGAATGTGGTGTAGAGTTGATCGGTGCCCCAGATAGTTTCTTTTCCCCTCAACCATTCGGGATGGTTGATGGCATCGGGCCAATTATGCATCTCCATGGAGACGGCCGCCATGTCCTCGGCAACTGAGCCTCCTTGCTGCCCCTTTAGGCGCACTTCGTCTGCTTACAAGTTAGCAAACACATCTATAGAGGGGAAAGAGGATCCTATCTCGGCCGGCTCACCGTTGACAGATCTCCAGGAGTGCACATGCAGGGCCTCTTGATCTGTGTAGAGTTCCACCTTGATACCCGAATAGTCGGATTTAAGTATAGCCACCGCTCGGTCATCCTTGTGCCATGGCTGGGATCGAGCAATCAAAAGGTCTCGTCAATACCTGTGGGGGAAGCATTCCCAGATGCGGCGGGTTTGGCCTTCTGGCCGTCCTTTATCCGTCGCTCGCCTGACCAAAAATCAAACGTAGAGCCTTGGGCGTTGCTTTTCATATCTCCGGTCGGTATATTGTCCTCGTCCATTGCAAATCTGAATCCCGAGTATGGCAGCTGCAGTTTGTGGTGCGCCACCGTGTAGTTGGTCTCGGCAGCGAACCCGTCAAGGTTCCAAAATACCTGCTGGCTCACACTGACAGGCGACGAGTCTCGAACCGGTGTCAACCCTATGGCGATATCCCATTTATATGGCGTGACCGTATGCGTTATGCATGCGCCCGGGGTGCCTGGAAACCCGTTCCAACCTCGATCAAAGACGACAAAGGTAATCGAGTTCGACGAGTGGGATGCAATATCCATGACGCGACGGCCCCAGCCCTTTTCGCCGCCGTTGAACGTCGATGTTCCTCCATTACCGTTGGCCGAGGTCTCGTACCGAACACCGTCAATATCAAAACCGGCACCGCTGATTATGCCCGCGTACCGTCCTGATTCGCAATGGTCAGCACATGCATGCACAGCAACATTGAGCATGCCGTAATGGCCAGGGATCCAGTAGACTCAAACCTATGATCCCGTTCAAAAATGGATTTCCTTTGTACTTCAAGTATGAACTCGCGTCTTCATAGCCCAAAACAATGTCTCTTTCGACCCCATGCGTATCATTCATCCACAAATTGGCCAAGGCTCCACCATGAGTTGTAAAGGCAAGTCGTATGCCTTCTGCAGCTATCTCGTATTTTCCCTCACGATTCGATGGAAATAAGACCGTCTTTGCGGCGAATGGGCTTCTGCAGAGACAATGACTATTAGTATGTACATCGAGTATCACCCGGCGTCTATAATATCATGGATACAATGTGTACTCACCCTCCGGTTAGCACTGATTTGGTGGCGGCCCAGATCATGGCAATAATGGTCGTCCATGATAACTCCATTGTTGGCGGTGCAAAGTGAATTGTTCTTGGAAGCTGTTCGAAGAGCAAAAATTACATCCTCAAAGCCGTCGTGGTTACATGTATCAATCATATGGATGCGTCGCGGGGGCTGACTTCCTGAACGCACGCGGGGGCCGGCGGGTTTACTCGACAACCGGCCCGGTTTCGTCTAAGCGGCCGAATCCAACACTCCGGCGGGCAATTACAGCACTTTCGTTTTTTAAAAAAAGATTTGTGCAGACGTTAGTACAACTGAAAGATCTCTCTCAATTCCAATCTCGCAATAGATTCACTCCATTGTATTCATACACGCACCCCATATCGAGTATCTCTACTCTTGCCACCCTAGAACCGGGTTTAGGCGCATGTAAATGCCCTCTCTCGACATCATCGCCGGGGCTCGCTCGACTACCCCAGCAGTGTCCCGGTTTATGAGTTCCGCCTCAAATCTACCAAAAATGCCGCCACTAGGCAGGCCAACTCCGCTCTTTCCCACCACTGCCCAATGCAGTTCTTGGGTCCGGCCGAGAATGTTAGCATGGCAAAGTTGCTTGATGCTCCGCCAGATCCCGCGCGGCCCTGCCCGATCCAACGCTCGGGATTGAAGACATGCGCATCGTCTCCCCACAGATTCTTGTCGTGATTGATAGCATCTGCACAGTAAGCGATTGTCGTGCCTTTGGGGATTTCTGTCCCCAACAGCGTTGTTTTGCGGACAGCAACACGCAATGCAAATGGCAGGGGTGGATAAAAGCGCAGTGTCTCGCTGCATACCGCATTGAGATAAGGGAGTGTCTCGATGGTGGACACGTCGGCCTGTTCCAAACCTCCAGGCCACTGCGTGCGAATCTCTTTGCGCAGTCGAGCTTGCATCTCAGGACGCTGGCCGAGTTCAAAGCAGACCCAATCAAAGGTAATGGCGGTCGATAGATGTCCAACGACAAGAGACGTCATCACATGGTGGACCAAATTCTCCGAAGAAAACATGCCGCTCCGAAGTGCAACAGTGATGATGTCCTTTCCCACGGTGCCCTGGGCCTCGTCAGTCTCTTCACATGCCAGTTTTTCTTTGCGAGCTTCAATAATCTTGACGGCCTTTTCGCGAACGTCCAAAAGGCACGATTCAAAGCCATGTTGCGTTGTTCCGGTATGTATCTGAGGACGGCAATTGGAACGTAGTTTATCAAGAGGCCAAGCCACGGAAATATAGGATTGGACCGAGACATGAATCTTCGGTATACCTTGGTAAGATGACGGTGCTCGCCGTGTGGATTGCCGAGCGAGTTGAATTCGTAGCCCATCCCAGCCAAGCCGATGATGTCCAGTGCCGCCCGGATGCTCCAATCGGTAACGAAAACCGAGTGGTCTTGGCTGTCTGATTTTCTGATTTCATCCTCGATGCCGTGGATCATCTTTGTCGTCTCTTGCCAGAAGATAGGCAGCAATTTCTTGACGTGGATGGGACTAAAGGCGGGCATCAAGTACTTGCGCTGGGCCTGGGAGCAACGTCACCATGCTGTGTCCTAGTGGCCCATCTTCGGAATCAATTCTTGCTTACCTTGTGATCCTCTCCATTCGCGAACTGCATGCCCTTGCCAGTTACCCTTTCAGCTGCAAACTTCATAAATGCCGGGTGATCATAGTCGTCCACTTTGTGCACTAAGGCTTCTGCCAACCCTTTGGGACTCGTCACCAAGATCCTCTCCTGGTTCAACGCTGCGTAATATCTCAGTAAGCCACCATTGGGAACTGACTCGGAGATTCTACGAGCGACAGTCCACTGCGGCTCCCGAAAGAAACCTCGTTCATTGCCAGTGAAGAGGTGACGGGTCTTGGATACGTCGTCAGAACCCCAATTCTTTTTCGAACGCAATTATGGAATGACGTACCGCAGGTGTTGGTAAATGTTGGAAAGGCGTGAAGAATTTTGGGTAGAATACCAAACAATACAGAGTGTACGAGCACAAGGCCACAACCGAACATTGAAGCAAGATCCACTGCCACTGTGGAATGTTGTGTCCTGTGAATCTTCGCAGCATGACGAATCCGGCATTCGCGAGCCAAAGCAGCACACTAGACGCTACGAGATAGCCCATTTTACCGTCGTTTTTGATCATGTCTTGGCAAATACTTCGTGAAAAGGTTGGTTTAAAGTGATCATGGTATAAATAAAAAACTGAGCCTCTTTACCGGTGACATGTTCAGTACTCCCTTGGCTTTTTTACCTTTCAAGGCCCGCGTCCGGTGGCTTTCATCTCCGACGGCTTCATCCCCGCCCGCCGGTCCAGCAGCCGGTGAGTTCTTCACCTGCACGCCACGTCACCACATCGAGCGGCATGGTCAACCATCAATGGATGTCTTGCATAGGATACTAAGTGTATCGTCTGCCATCTCCTTATTGCCAAGCACAAAAGCGCATTGCCTTTCCAGCTATCAGGAACAACTCACTCAACTATCAGCCTACAACAGCGACCCAGATGGATTCTCTTCCAGAACTTCAAACGGCCATAGTTGGCACTCAAAATGGCAATCTCGTAATCGCACACAACGTGCCCGTTCCGAAATTGGAGGACGACATGATCCTCGTTCGCAATTCAGTCATGGGCCTCAACCCCGTGGATACAAAGATGACTGGCCATCTTTGTACCGCGGGAGCCGTCGCCGGCATGGACTTTGCTGGCATCGTCTTGGCTGTTGGCTCCAATGTCAAAGCCGCACGAGATATTACTGTTGGCGATCGGGTTTGCGGCGCTGTCCAAGGAATGCACGCCTTGACACCAACGGTAGGCGCCTTTGCACAGATTGTCGGAGCCAGCGACGTAGTAACGCTGAAGGTTCCACCTAGCATGACTCTAGAAGAGGCTGCTTCGTTGGGGAGCGGAGTAGGAACCATTGGGCTGGCTCTTTATAAATCGCTAGAAATTCCTGGGACGCCGTTTAAACCAGCAGAGATACCACAGTTCGTGTTGGTTTACGGGGAAGTACTTCTACCGGCACGCTCGCATTGCAAATTCTCAAGCTGTAAGTAAGACTCCACAGTGCTTGGCTACACGTCTCATGTACTACCTTTCACTAATAATGGTGTTCTAGATCTGGTATGAGGCCCATCGCCACATGTTCGCCAAAGAACTTTGATCTTGCCAAGTCCTACGGAGCAGAAGCTGTGTTTGACTACCGAGCAGCTTCAGCGACCGAGGACATCAAAACACACACCAAGAACTCTCTCAAATATGTGCTGGACTGTGTTTCCGTACCAGAGACGATGCGATTCTGCTACAAAGTCATCGGCCGTGCGGGAGGTAAATATACGGCATTGGAACCATTCGCTCCGTCCTTACATACGAGGCCTACCGTCCAGCCTGATTGGGTGCTGGGTCCGGCTCTACTCGGCAAGGAAATTTCGTGGAGCCCTCCTTTTGAGAGGCAAGCCAATCCAAAGATACGAGAATTCACGCTCGACTGGTTCAATACAATTCAAAGTTTACTGGACGACGGGATATTACGGACTCATCCAGTGCGCATCTTGGAAGGTGGGTTCGAGGCAACATTGCAAGGTCTCGATCTCCTGAGAGAGAGCAAGATATCAGGCCAGAAATTGGTTTGTAAGATCTCTTAATCTCACCTAAGTACATGTAGAGTTTATGAATTACAAGAATATCTATCTCTTGATAGCTTTACATCTTTCCGTGTCGTGTCACTCTATGTCTGTAGCAGATTTTGCAGATGGACAAGCTCGGAATACCGGCCCTGTCTTGCCATTAGTTCTCTGTGAGTGCCCGATTCAACCACGCGCCCGTGGTCCAACACGAATATAACGTCAGCTCGTTTGATGCTGGATAGTCTGTGGGCAACAGCAATGGTTGTGCGACCCCGGGCAGCCACGTCAAGCGCAGCCTGGACGACTTGTTCCGATTCAGAATCCAACGCACTGGTACTTTCATCGAGCAGCAAGATTTTGGATCACGAATGAGCGCCCGGGCGATACAGACTCTTTGCTTCTGGCCACCAGAGAGCAAAGACCCCTTGGATCCAACATCTATGGGGAGTTAGGTTAGCCTGACATCTTTTTCGTTGGACGTCGGGGAACTAAGTAGCTTGCTTACCCGTGTTGAAGCCATCTGGAAGTGACTGAATAAACTCGAGAATGTTAGCGTCCTTGCAAACTTGCATCAGCTTCTCGTCCGAGACGGACTCCTCCCCTTTCGTGCCCATCATGATATTGTCTCGAATCGTCCCTTGATACAATGTCGGCTCCTGTGCCACCAATGCAAAGTGCTGGCGGTATGCAGCGACATTGAGCGCCGTCACATCGATTCCATCCAGTAAATGGCGCCACTTTTCGGGTCGTAGAATCTTTCAAGGAGCGAAATCGCTGTCGACTTTCCAGATCCAGACGCTCCGACAAGTGCCGCGTATTGGCCAGGTTTGATGTGAAGGTTAAGGCCCCGAAGAGCGACGTGCGACCGAACTGGATACTCAAAATGCACGTCGCGGAACTCAACGTCGCCTTTGGTGCTCTTTAGATATTGGCCTTCCGTCGAGGAGCTATCGATAATCGGCCTGCGATCAAGTAAGGTCTTTAAATCAGTCGTGGCTTGTTTGGCCTTCCCAATATCAGGCGCGAAGCTAAAGATGATTCCGGCGGACTGTGCACCAAAGATTGTGGCGGAAAAGCACACGAAAAATTGGAAAATTGAGTACTCGTGTTGAGCAATGAGTTGGCCGCCGTACCAAAAGGCCAGGGCATTGACCGCAAATCCGAGGCTTTGAGATGCCGCGTAGAGTGCGCTGGAGCGCAAGACTGAGAGGAGGGAGCGTTTTCCTTGCTCGTGCAACTGTTGGCGATAATTGCAAAGCACCTCATCTTCTCGCGTCAAAGACGCCACGGTGCGGATGGCGGAAGTGTTTTCGCACGCATAAGACGCAGATTCTTCGTAAAACTGCTTTGATAGTGCCTGTGATCGAGCAACCACCCAGACGCGGCAGAAACCGCATCCAAGTACGATTGGAACTGTAGAGATGCATACCAAAGCCAGCTTCCAGCCAATCGCCAATGCGATGATAAATCCGGCAAAAAGAGTGACTATCGCAGAGAGGATCGTACTGAGGGTCGAACCGGAAATTCCAGCCAAGTTCTATATCGATTGTTAGTAAGAGTGTTAGTGCTAGCAAGGTTTGAGGAGATATAGGGGGATACGTTACATTAGCTGTAGTACCAAGAAAAGACGTCAAAGCGCCTGGCGAGTTCTCGAGTCTGTCAAAAAAGCGGCGTCTTGTCGTAATATCGCTCGGAAACAAGCATTTCGGGCTCTACGGACCAGTTTTTCGCTGCACCACGCTACGACATATGCCTGTACCAGGTACGCGAAAAGCTGGACTATAGCAAGAAGGAAAAACATCCACGACCAGAAGGCGACCTGAGACTTTGCATCGTCGTCCTGAGGTAAAGCGAGGGAAGCTATGGATTTGGCGAAAAGGACTGACTGGGCAGGGATTGCACCACCCGTCAAAAATGCGCAGAGGATGCCAGTGAGTCCATAGGGCCAGTCAGGTATGTTGAACGATACCACCGTAGCAGTCAGGCGCCAGAGGGAGTAACGCGGTGCCTTTGATTCGGTGGTCCTAGTGATAGGTGCTTCTTCAATGTGTGAAGCTCTCTTTTCGTCTTGGGCGTTGCCAGTCAATCGCATCCGTCCGCTTTGATCCGGGGAATCGGGAACCAGAATCAGATCAGAGCTTGTTGACGCGTTGTCACCTCCGATTCCTGGGCTTCGACAAGGGTATGGTAGACACCCTTTGCTTCGAGCAAGTCATTATGAGTGCCCTGCTCGACAACCTTTCCATGAGACATGACGATAATCTTATGTGCATTTTTTACTGTGCTCAACCGATGCGCAATCACAATTGTAGTCCGGCCGCGAGAGGCGCGCTCTAATGCCGCTTGAACCACACCTTCGCTTTTTGTGTCCAGAGCAGAAGTCGCCTCGTCTAGCAGCAGGATCTTGGGATCTCCGATGATTGCACGTGCTAAAGCTATCCGTTGCTTCTGGCCGCCTGATAACAGAAGACCGCCCACGCCGACATTGGTTTGATATCCTTGATCAAGGTCAGAGATAAATTCATGAGCATAGGCTGTTTTGGCCGCTTCCGTGATGAGCGCCAAAATTTGTTTGTCATCGTCTGCTAAGTGCTCGTATTTGGTGCCGATGAGACCATATCGAATGTTTTGTGCGATCGTCGTGGCAAACAAGACTGGCTCTTGTGAAACAATGCCCACTTGCTGGCGAAGCCATTGTAGATTAAGGTCTTCGATTTTGATTCCATCGAGCAGGATCTCACCTTCCAATGGCTCGTAGAAGCGTTCGAGAAGACCCACCACAGAGCTTTTCCCAGACCCCGATACCCCTACGAGCGCCGTTGTCTCGTTGGGGTGTGCGTCAAAGCTCACAGAGTCCAGAGCAACAACATGGGCCCTCGAGGGATAGACAAGCTTAACTTGACGAAACTCAACCCTGCCCTTGAGCTCGGAGCGGTCAATTTTAATGCCTTTCTCGTCGCTGGGATCTAGGGGCGAAGGGCGATCGATTGTCGAGTAAATTTTTGAGGCCGCTGCAATGGCGGTCGCGAATGCTTGCATATTTGGCGCCAAGTTGCCCAAGGCAAATGCGCCCATGATGATGGCCAAAAGGATTGTGAGGACATCACTAAGGGAGCATTCTCCGTTTGCAACATATTTGCTGCCCAGCCAAAACGCCAGTGCGTAAGACAGATAGATGTAACACATCATGAATCCGACCGTAGCAGTCGTCGTCACTTTCGTTCGAAAGGCAGGCGTCTCAGCCTCGTCCAAGTGTTTGTCGTACAATTTACCTGCCGGTCCTGCGTACCGGCTGCAATGGTATTTCTGATCGAGCTGAAGACCTCTTCGACAAGCGATCCACCCCTGGCGTAAGACGCGAGAGAGAGCTTTGTCCACCGAATAGACAGACGCCCAAGTGCTCCACCCGTAAGTACGATGGCCACAACGGTCGAAGTCAGGATAAGCGCCAGTTTCCAAAAGCGAACGTAGGAGATGATGTAGGCTGTGACGAAGGTTGCGATGCCTTGAAGGGTCAATGCCACCTTTCCCGAAATTCCATCTTGCAATAAATTGGTATCTGCCGTGATTCGGGTTGTCTACAAAAGGTTCAGTGCCTGATATAACCCGCGTATTTTCAAGATTCAACTTACGATCTCGCCCGCTCCAAGAAGATCAAAATAGGCCATATTCTGCCGCAAAACCCCTGCGAGATAGTTTTCTCGGACTTTAGCGGTGATGTGTTCGCCGACATAGTTGAAACCGACCGTGGCAATGTAAATCGTGGCAAACTGGCCAATAGCGAGGTAGACGAAATAGAGCGTCAATCGATTTACCTCTTGCAAGAAGTATGAGCCCGAGACAGTACCTAAAAAGAACCCTTGGAACTTTAAATAGCTTTAGTACGCTACACGCCAACTTTGGCTTCCCCTCTGTTTGGACCCAGCGTGACGCAACTTACAGTACCGGCGAGGGAGCCATAAATGATGGTCATCAATGGCAAACTTGCACCTGCGGCGATGGCACTAAGCCCACTTCCAGCGAGAAGGCAGAGGTCGGAATTCGTTGCATAGCGAAAAAGAGAATTGTACTTGACGACTGCTGGTGTGCTATCAACCTGACGGGAGAGGATGGCCGCTGCGTTGTGGGATAGATGGCTGTAGGCATTGTTGCTAGAGGCAGCCTCAACATCTTGGCTGTTGGCTGTCATGGCTAGTCAGTTTGAAGATCTGGCGAGAGAGTAGCGAACTCCTCCTGGCGCGGCCGACGCGACTGGTATTCAGGGGTTGTTTGCCTGTTTTTGCATGTTTGTTGCCGTTGTTGCCTGTTGCCTGTTGCCCCCGTTGTGCCGCCTGTTGCTACATGTCGCCTGCTGCCGCCCATCAACAACCGGCGGGAAACGGCGACTTTGTATGCGGACCGGCGTGTATCATAAGGCTATAGCGGGGCGTGGCGCCGGCGAGTTTTGACTTTAAATATACTGGATATAACCCTGACAAGGCCGCCGGCACGGACCCATCGCCGTTGGCCTGATTCCGACGAGGCCAACCTGCCCGACCAAAGAAACAACCCTAACAAGACCGACGGCACGTAACCGTCACCGTTGGCCTGATTCCGACGAGGCCAATCTTCAGGACCAGAGAAACCACCCCGGGTGTTGGTTATACAAGTTTCACTCAGGAAAAATTAGATTTATTTGACAGGTTGCAGCGACGCTGATAATAGACAAAGCCGTACTCCCTAGCCTCGTCTCTTTGCATTTTACACCATGAGTGACCATCACAGTGAACCTATTGCCATTGTGGGTATCGGTTGTCGATTCCCCGGCGGCTGCGATACACCATCTAAGCTATGGGGGTTTTTGAAAGATCCAAAGGACCTGTCCCAGGAAATCCCCCGACAGGTTCAATGTCGACCGTTTCTACCACAAAGCTGGAAGCCATCATGGGACGACCAACGTACGCCGTGCGTATATGCTCTCAGAAGATATAACGCACTTTGACCACCAATTTTTCTCCATCACGCCTGACCAAGCTGCTGCTATCGATCCCCAGCAACGCCTACTGCTCGAGGTCACGTATGAAGCTCTCGAATCTATGGGGTGCCCCATGGAACAGCTTCATGGCTCAGATACCGCCGTTTTCGTTGGTATGATGAATAACGATTACCTAGTTCAACAAGCTCTGGATGTCGATTTCTCACCTAAATACAATGCTACGGGTGTGGCAAACTCCAACGCATCGAGTCGCATTTCCTATTTTTTCGACTGGCATGGCCCGTCAATGGTATGTTATCTTGACCGTATACACGTGTACTATATATACCATCATTGCAAATTGGTGATTGCTCATCATCTTTATTTCATAGACAATCGACACGGCATGCTCTTCCAGTCTAGTAGCCGTGTATGAAGCCGTGCAGGCGATCCGAAGCGGCACTTCAAAGTTGCTGTCGCCGCTGGTACAAATCTAGCTCTTATTCCCTTAGCATACATAACAACGAGCAATATTAGTATGCTGTCACCGACGGGCAAAAGCCGAATGTGGGACGCCAATGCAGATGGCTATGCTCGAGGAGAGGGTGTCGCGTCGGTGGTTCTGAAGACGCTAAGTGACGCAATCCGAGACGGCGACAATATTCACACTGTCATTAGGGAAATAGGCGTGAATCACGATGGAAGGACTGCGGGTCTTACGATGCCGAGCGCCACTGCTCAAGCCCATCTTATCCGCCGCGTATATCGCCAAGCTGGTCTTGACCCTCAAGACCGGAATGACCGGTGCCAATTCTTCGAAGCTCACGGTTAGTTCTTCCACGAATATCTGTAACGAAAGCTAATACAGTTAGGTACTGGTACCCCTGCTGGTGATCCGCAGGAAGCTGAGGCTTTAAACAGAGCCTTCTTCGACAACATGAATTCCGCTGATGATGACATACTCTTTGTCGGCTCCATCAAAACCATCGTCGGTCACACTGAGTCTACAGCAGGACTAGCCGGGCTGCTCAGGGCTTGTCTGGCTTTGAAAAATGGAGTGATACCTCCGAATCTCCTTTTCAATAGGTTAAATCCAGCCGTGGCGCCTTTCACCGCCCATCTTCGAATCCCTACTACTGCTCAGCCCTGGCCATCACATCAGGGTAGTGTTCGGAGAGCCAGTGTTAACAGCTTTGGATTCGGCGGTGCTAACGCCCATGTCATCCTTGAGTCCTACGATCCTACAGACCATTTTGTTAATGGCAACGGAATTCCATCACCCGCTTTGGAACCAACTAGATCAGAGACGGTGTCTTCATCAGTACCATCTATCCCTTTTATATTCTCAGCCGCTACAACAGGCTCGTTGAACGCAAATCTACGTGCTTTCCGGTCCTATCTTGAGGAATATACCGACACGCTTTGCCCAGCAAGTCTGGCGCATCACCTTGTGGCGAAGAAATCGAGTTTCACAACCCGAATTTCGTTTTCGGCCGATACTGTGCAAGATCTAACAGCTAAAGTTGCACATACTCTAGATTCGAACGAAGTCAGCGTAAGCAACTCTTTAGCTTCAAGCTTCTCCGACCACCCATGTATCTTGGGTATATTCACTGGACAAGGTGCTCAATGGGTGACGATGGGCACCAAACTTATTGCCTCGATACCCCTCGCGTCCGCAATCATCGATGAGTTGGACTTGGCACTATCCACGCTGCCGGAAGACGATCAGCCAAGATGGAGTCTCATGCAGGAACTACTCGCTACAAACAACTCTCGGATGGGCCAAGCTGAGATTTGCCAACCGCTGTGCACTGCCGTCCAACTTGTACTTGTCGATTTGCTCCGCGCCGCGAGAGTAAAGTTTTCGGCCGTAGTTGGACACTCGTCTGGAGAAATTGCGGCTGCCTACGCTGCTGGGTTCATAAAAAGCGCGACGCTATTCGAATCAGTTTCTACCGTGGGCGCTATGCAAAGCTAGCTGCTAGTGATTCAGGGGGCCCGGAGCGATGATGGCAGTTGGCACGTCCTTTGAAGATGCGCAGGAGCTATGCCACCTAGAAGATTTTGCTGGAACTCTTTGCGTCGCCGCACACAATTCACCAGAAAGTGTGACGCTTTCTGGTGACTCGTCGACTATTGAACGAGCGAGGCTGGTTTTCGAGGAAGAGGGCAAGTTTGCTAGACCATTAAAAGTGGACACAGCTTATCACTCTCACCACATGAAACCCTGCGAACTCCCATACCTAAGAGCTCTTCGAGAATGTGGAGTGGAAGTGCTACAGCCTGCAGCAGAAGCTCCCCGGTGGTACTCAAGCGTTCACGGCGGCGAGCTCATGGGAGAAAAATCGCGAATAAGTGCGGAGTATTGGGTAGACAACATGTCCAAACCGGTGTTGTTTTCTCGCGCAGTAGCTCGGGCCTGCGAGTCATCTGGTGGCAAATTCAACTTCGCACTGGAAATCGGACCACATCCAGCACTAAAAAGCCGACTCTTGACACTCTCAGGGCCCTCCATAGTGATATCCCCGGGTATTCTGGTGCTCTGTATCGTGGGAGACACGATGTTGAGGCTTTCAAAGACATGCTTGGAGCACTATGGATGGAGGCGGGTAGAGCCGCGGTAAACCTACTAGAATTTGAGCAAGTCTCTGGCGTGCACCCAACTTGCTTTCAATCCATTCCAGATTTACCAAAATATTCTTGGAACCACGATCGACGGCTATGGTGTGAAGCACGGACGTACAAACATGAGCGTTCACATGAGCTGCCTTATCATGACCTCCTCGGACGAGTCACCTCAGACAGCACTGCAGACCAATGGCGGTGGCGGAACGTCCTTGACGTGAGGCAGTTGCCGTGGTTAAGTGGGCATGCCCTTCAAGGCCAGACCGTATTTCCTGCAACAGGCTACATCTCTCTAGCGATGGAATCGGCTATGCAGATTGCTGGATCATCACCTGTTCAATTGATCGAGTTGCTGGATCTGGACATTGCCAAAGCCATTGTCATTAGCGAGACTGCACCCACAGAGCTCGTCATCTATCTGAATCGCATAACCCGGAACGATATTCAAGAGGTCACGGCGGAGTTCTCTGTTTACTCCGCCGTTGCTACAAAGGATTCAGCTGGACTGACATTGAATTGCCGCAGCGACTTACGTATCACGCTTGAAACCAAGGCGGCAAGAACCGCAGCACCACTGCCGCCGAGAAAGATCCACTCAGTCAACATGTCTGAAGTCGACGTAGAACGCTTTTACACCTCCTTGCGAGACGATGCCGGCTATACATACGAGGCACCATTCAGAAACATTACCCAGCTTTCGCGTCGGCTTGGGTTGTCCACGGGAGCCATACAAGCGCCCGAACCAGAGAGCGATGCTACTCAATTCGTGTTCCATCCCGCTATAGCGGACTGTGCCTTGCAGGGGATGTTTGCAACATACAGCGCCCCTGGAGATGGCTCTATTACGTCAATAATAGTACCCAAAGGCTGTCGTCGAGTATCACTAGTCCCATCTCTTTGGTTGACTCAGCTTAATGGCGATGTATACTTTGACTGTACGTTGACAGACAACGGTGCGGACACTGGTATAGCTGGTGATATTGACCTCTACTCTTCTTCCGAATACGAAAACAAGATGATGCAGTTCGAAGGGCTTACTTTTGTTCCATTTTCCGGAGCGACAAAGGAAGATGACAGATCGCTATTTCAAGAGTCCATCTGGTGTCCCAACAATCCGGATGGCAAACTTGTGCTGGGAGATCGTGAGCCAACGGTTAAGGAGAAGCAGAAAGCACTCGATGCTGAACGTGCGGCATTTTTCTACATGCGCAAACTTGTTCGGTCGGTCGAGCCGGGTGCACGTACAAGTCTTCCATGGTATCGTCAATCGTTGCTTGAAGCTACCGAGCGAGTTGTCGACAGCGTTCGCAGCGGCACTCACCCATACGCCGGTGGTTGGTTGGGCGATACCGCCGAGGAAATCGCGTCTATGATGGACAGGCAAGTACTATACAGGCGCTCTTCAAACTTGATCTACTAACTCCTCGTAATTAGCTATGGCGATGATGCCGACTTCAACATCACACGTGCTGTTGGCGAACACTTACCGCTCCCAGAAGTCATGTCTGGGGAGGTCAATATTTTGGAGTACATGGCACAGAATGATTACCTTGGCCGCTACTATCGGGAAGCTGCCGGGTTTGAGTCGCTCAATGACTCCGTTGGGGGTCTCGTTGCTCAAATCACCAACAAATATCCACATATGAACTTCTGCGAGGTCGGTGCTGGAACCGGCGGCGCCACCAAGCCGTCTTGGACGTTGTGGGCAATGCCTTTGCCTCGTATACCTACACAGATATCTCCAGCGGCTTTTTCGAGACTGCCCAAAGCCGGTTCCATGCTCATCACAGGAAAATGATATACAAGACCTTGAACATCGAGCACGATCCAGTGGACCAAGGCTTCGTACCACAGGCATATGATTGCGTTGTGGCCGCGAATGTCTTGCATGCGACCAAGTCGCTTGAGACCACGCTCCGCAACGTTCGAAGCCTATTGAAACCCGGTGGCTACCTAATACTATTTGAAATCATCGGTAACAACGTCATGCGTATCCCGATGGTCATGGGCGGCCTTCCTGGGTGGTGGATCGGCCATGAAGATGGACGAAAATACGCTCCCACGATTGAACTCGAAGAATGGGACACCATCCTCAGACAGACAGGCTTTTCCGGTGTGGATACCCACACTCCCATGAAAGACAAGGTCTCTTTGCCTGGTGCGATTTTCTGTTCTATGGCTCTTGACGAGAACATTGACGCTCTACGGAATCCTCTCGTGAAGAACATTGATCAAAGCGCCAATGACTGTCTGGTTATCTTGCAAGGGAAAACTGACATCAGCGAACAGCTTTTGGGTATGCTCGAGCTGCACTTTACCAAAGTTGTCGTTGCTGAAAACTTGGACTCCCTGCCAGAGATACCTGCTCACGCCCATATATTGTCGCTACAAGATTACGGCGACTCCATCTTTGAGAATCTCACCGAACTTCGCTGGGCCAACTTACAGAGACTACTCGAGTCGCCACGGACGGTACTCTGGGTAACTAGCGGTGCTCATTGCTCCAATCCATATGCCGCTATGTCGATCGGTTTATTCCGAAGTCTCTACCACGAGCTCATGGGATGTCTAGTGCAAACTTTGGATTGCGAGGTTGTACACAAGGCCTCTGACTTGCATACGATTGCCGAACTGGTACTTCGCCTAAGGAAGCTTGCAAGCCTGAGCCAGCGAGACGAAGACGCCGAAATTTTGTGGACTGTCGAGCCCGAACTACGCCTGCGTGATGGACGACTAGAAGTTCAGCGAGTACGTTCAGCCTGGGAGCGAAATGATCGCCTTAATTCATGTCGTCGACCCATCTTCCAGGGTCAGGATGCTCGCATCGCGTTCCTCGACTTGCGTTTTAACGGCGTAAGACACGTACTCGAAGAGACCCAGAGTCCAAAACCTTTGGCCGATGGCGAATTCATTTCTGTCAGGGTGACGACATCATTCCTATTGGCTATAAAGACCCCCATGGGGCATGCATTTATATGCCTCGGGTTCAACCAAGATAGTGGAGAGAAGGTCTTGTGTTTGTCCGAGACGAATTCGTCGCGGCTGATCATCCACAAATCTTGGACTCGCAATGTTTCTGTTGACGTGATTGACCGGCAATACTTATCTTTGGTCATCGGAGCTTTGGTCAACCAGCAACTCGTGGACGCTCTGCCTCCATCCGGAGCTCTCTTAGCGTACGACCCGGATCCTGGTCTTGCCTCGCTCTTATCTAAACAAATGTCCATTCAAAACAGAATCGTCTTGTTCGTCACCTCGCGCCCTAGGATGCAACATCATCGGGGCAAGTGGGTTTCTCTCCACAGCCAATGCACCTCTAGAGATATTACAGGAATTCTCCCGGATGGCTTATCCACATATCTATATTCGTCCCATCTGGCAGGCGACTCAGGACGCCTTCATGAACGGATTCGGCAGCTTCTTCCACCACACTGCCAAACTATCGATGCTGACGTTTGCGTTTCGAGACATGCTGCCAACTTACCACGAGAAGCTGCAAGCTCAGTCACCGACCTGTTGCATAGGGTTACAGAGTTTGCCGAGTCTCAATTGAATGGCGTTCCCGATGGCGTCGCTCTTGAGACAATGCCTTTACGTGATATTGTTCTGACAACAGAGCCGTTTGAGGTTACCGCGAAGTTCCTCGTGGATTGGGACTCTGACATTAGTGCGCCAGTGAGAATAAAGCACATCTCTTCTCGCCCCGACCTTTTCAGCAGATACAAAACCTACTGGCTTGCAGGTCTTTCTGGCGACCTTGGTCGGTCTTTGGCAGATTTTATGATTTCTCATGGCGCAAGACACATTGTCCTGAGCAGTCGAACCCCAAAGAGGAAAAGCCGTGGATCGATTGGCATCTTTCTGAACAGGGGGCAGAAGTGAAGTATTTCCAGAACGACGTCGCCGACTTCACATCCGTTGAGAATACACTCGAACAAATTACCGGGTCTATGCCACCGCTAGGTGGCGTTGCTCTGGGCGCGCTGGTTCTTTGCGATCGCATGTTTGCCCAGATGAAACTCGACGAGTTCCAACGGGTCATGGACCCCAAGGTCCAGGGCACTCTCAACTTCAGTCGACTCTTCTCACTCGAGTCAAGTTTGCCGCCTCTGGACTGGTTTATTGGGTTTTCATCGATTGTGGCTACCATGGGCAATCCTGGACAAGCCAATTACTCTGCGGCCAACTGTTTTATCAAAGCAGTTATCAACCAGCGCCGAGCCCAAGGTCTGGCTGGCTCCGTCATTGATATCTCGCGTGTTATTGGTGTAGGCTACGTTGAGCGAGAGATGAAGAGCGACGGCAGACTAACGAGAGAGCAAAAAGAGCGTCTCTTCACTGGATCCATGACCCTGCCCATGTCGGAGACTGATTTGCATCAATTGTTCGCAGAGGCCATCGTATCGGGCCGCCCGGCGGCGGGAGACAATGGTAATCACGATATAATTACCGGGATGGCGCCGGTGCGCAAGGAGAACGCACATGATAAGTCCTGGCCAAACAATCCTAAATTCGGACTTTTGGTGAAAGTGGGCGAGGAAAGTGCTGCCGAGTTGAGCGAGCAGGCCAGCAACCGTATCCCAATCAAGAAGCTACTTGCCGAAGCAGGGTCACGAGATGAGATGGACAAGATCCTCAAAGGTACGCGATAAAGGGAATGACGAATCCTTGGAACTACGTGTACTGACTTTATATTTAGATGCTTTGATCAGTAAACTCCGGGCTGTTCTTTTTCTTTCAGGATCCGATGTCTCGGTTGAGGATGTGCCACTCATAGATATCGGTGTCGACTCGCTGGTGGGCGTTGAAATTCGCGCGTGGTGTCTAAAGCAGTTTGACGTTGACGTCCCGGTCATAAAGATTCTCGGAGGAATTTCTTTGAGTGGAATCGTGGAGCAGGTACTAGACTCGTTGTTGTCGGCAAAAGATGGCGATGAGCAGAAACAAGTAGAACTTCAAGCCGCAGAGTCCGATACTTTGCAGGCACAGGCACAAGAGTAAAGGCACGACTAGTTTGAAGGAGCTCAATTCTCTGTTTCCTTGTGGATCGATCACGATAATTCTTTTCCGGAATTTCGCAAGACTTACCTACAGTACTCGTTGGTGCCTTGGCATATCTACGTCTTCGTAGAAAAATGTTATCATGTCAAGCTGTGATTCAGAAAATTGCAAAGGCAAGATCGCTTTCCCAGGACACAGACTTGTTCAGATGCTTCCCAAGCTGTACGATCATTTTCATCCGTCATACATGCACAGTACATGTATGTCGAGGTATTATCGCCGGACCGGTGAGTTGACCGGCGGAATTGGAGTAGGATAGGTTAGTAGAAACAAGAAACGGGCCGGTTCTATCTTGTAATACTTTGGGCAAAGACATTTTATACCTTCTGCGCCACCCTGTATTTTGCCGTGACAACTCGATGTTGGCATTACATCCCACATAATCATGGAACGTCTCACTATCTACCACTGGTTCCTCGTATTGGCATGCCTGGGAATTTTCGAGCTGGTACGATTCTAGCTAACCGCCGGCAGTTCAATAAGTTTAAGAGTGCGAACAACTGCCAGGCGCCCATCGACATTACGGGCAAATTTCCTTATGGCTTAGATCGCATTAATCGCATCCGCAACTCGCGGAAGTCAGGCGAAGACATTCTGGACGACATTCTTGGAGGAGAGTTTAAAAATGCCAGTACTTTCCAAATGACCATGGTGGAAGGTAGCTGCGTTCTTACAACCACAGAGCCGGCAAACTTGCAAGCCATGCTCGCTACCCAGTTCAACAACTTTGAGACGGGCAAAATGCGTCATAGTCAATTTTGGCCGGTGCTTGGCAAGTCGATATTCTCGAGCGATGGAGCTTTTGGAAGCACTCGCGAGCCTTGCTCAGACCGCAGTTTGCTCGGGACAATATCAATGACCTCGACGAAACAGAAAGAGCTTCGGATTTGTTCGTGAAAACCATTGGAGCAGCTGGCAGCGACGGGTGGACTTCGGCGGTCGATTTACAGCCTGCTGTGTTCAACTTCACTCTTGGTGAGTAAAAATTACGCTGCGCATAGAATCAACATAATATACTGACTCCTGCGAACAGACACGGCCACGTCTTTCTTGTTCGGAGAATCGGTCGAGTCCCAGTCGGCCTACATACATGCAAAGAATTCCAATCTTGGCGGAACTAAAGATGCCACGGCAGCGCAAGAGGCGACATCTGCCAATTTCCTCGACGCTTTCGCAACGGCCAGCGATTATACGATATATCGGCTTAGACTTCAAAGTCTCTATTGGCTGGCTGATGGCTTCAAGTTTAGACGCGCCGCAAAGACGTTGCATGCCTTTACTAGCCGGTTTGTTCGACGTGCCTTAGCAGCAACTGCGGATAGCAAAGACGAATCGTCCAAGACGGCCAATGTTAGCACAAATCTTTTGCATGCCTTGTCTACGAAAACGAGAGATGCTGAGGAGCTTCGTGCCCAAGCCACAGCTGTTCTGTTTGCCGGCCGGGACACAACGGCAGCCCTTATATGCTGGTGCCTCCTCCGCCTTGCTCAACACCCGAATCTCTATGCCGAACTCCGGGAAACGGTGCTCACAACCTTTCCACGGGGAGAACCCACTGGGCTCGCACAGTTAAAGTCTTGCCGCATTTTACAACATTTCATCAATGAAGTTCTTCGCTTGCATCCTGCCATTCCTTTCAACACTCGCGTCGCGAACAAACATGCCATTCTGCCTCGTGGAGGTGGGCCTAAGCAAGATGCTCCGATCGCCGTATACAAGGGTCAGACTATTGCATTCAGCATGTATCATATGCACCGCCGTGTAGATCTCTGGGGCAAAGACGCAGCCGAGTTCAAGCCAGAGAGATGGAAACAAAAGTCCCCGCCTGGCAGTTTCTGCCCTTTAGCGGAGGCCCTAGAATTTGCATTGGACAGCAATACTCGCTAGTAGAGACGAGTTTCTTGCTGGTCAAACTATTGCGACGCTTTGATAAAATGGAGCCAGTAGGTTGGACCGATGCGTCGGCGGTAAAGAAGGGAATGGGCTTGACAATGTGGCCCCGTGACGGAGTTCACGTGAGAATGCATGAAGCTACCAGCGAGAGGCTGCAGCCAATGGATTCTTCAGTGCACTTACACGTGCACATCACTCGAGATGAATACATGGGTAATTCTAGCTTCAAGCAGTCTATAGCCTAGTCCATTACCACTGTCGCTGCTGTCACCTCTCTCATCCAGATCTGTATCCTGAGAAGCTAAGTTTTCGAGTCATGGCTATCTACAATGGTGGTTGTTCTTCTACCAAGACAGGTTTGAACAGAAGGTAATGCCGAGTACCAACCGGGGTATGCATGGATATTTCCAAAGTTTTATGAATTCTTCGCAAGACAGCTCATTCTAAGAACCTTGAATCGCCCCTTTTAAAGACAGCCAACAAGTGCATGTCCGCCACCATCTAGTCTTCACCCTCTATCTAAAATCATAAATTTGGAGCTTCTGAAGAACAAAGTCTTCCTCATGAAGCAGTTCATCCAATACAAACATGGCTGCGCGCATCATAGGGCTGCGAGTCTTTTTCGGTGGCGTGGATGGGCTGTCTGGAGCCAATGGGTCCGATGCCCCATCTAGTAGCGGGCAAAACGTAGCGCGGGTCGCCGAGGAGTGAAGGTCTTCGACCAAGTTGCTAATCAGACTCAATGTCATCCGAGCGTTCAAAGCCGGCCTAGAAGCCAGGCTGAATGTACCGAGAGATACTGTTGCTGATTCGCCATTTGACCCTTGAGCATCAGAAGAACCCTCCTGACACTGGCCATGAAGTGACGTGACCAAAGGCTTGAGCAAACGGAGTAGGTATGCGTAGCAAGAAAATGCGTGAAGCAGCAACAAGGTGTTCTTGCCGTCGTCATCGTTGACGCTTTCAGGAGAGGTGGACTGGCTTGAGGATGCGCCGTCGCCAATGGATGGGCTCTTCAATACGCCCGTCAGACGCTCCATTATAACCAAGATCTCGCTAATATTGGATGGTCCGGGAATGTGGAGACCAGGAAGCCCGTTCCCTATTCTGGCATTATCCTCGAGCTGAGTTGTGTTAAGAGCATGCAGGTGTGTCTGCATATCGAGAAGTTCTTTCAGCGACGCTTCTTCGTTGGTCTCGGAGAAGCGCATATCCTCAAATACGCCTGCATCCAATTCAACAGAGTGTCCGCCGTCGGACGCAGAGAGCCAATTGAACGGGTCAACTATAGAAGAGCGTCAGAAAAACGATTACATAGTACCAGAATCCACACGCACCTTGAGGGTAAACATTATCGAAATGCAAGTCAAGGCCTGGGTTGCCGTGTGGTCCATGCGTGGGGCCCTGGGAATTCGCATCGCCATGAGATGAGGAACCGGCATTTAAACGTCCTGACACTGGCCCTGACGAGAATCGAAACTTGTCCAAAATGGATGGATCGTCCGTCGGGGCAGGGGATACCAATGCTGTACTTGTGTTAGCGTCCGATCGTTAGAATAACGATGGACCGGAATACATACTGTTCTCTCTTGGTTTCTGCTTCGGACGTCCTGTCTTTGCCTTTTCGCTATAATTGCATCGTAGCTGTAGCCTTTCGCATCTTTCGCATACCTCATGATTGGCCCTTCTAACGCATCGATTTTTGAGAGTATGGCATCGATCGCAAGCATTGCGTTGAGCTCCAGGCTTTGGCATCTTATATTCGGCACGATCAAACTGGTACTATGTGGGCCTTACTACTGGTAGGAGGATGTCGAAATGAGTATAGTTCTGTTTTGAGGTGTTGAGAGGCTAAAGGGGGCTTGAAATCTCGCGGTGCCGTCCAAGAAATATCCCCCTCGGGCGGTGAGTTTCGATGATACGGGTCCCAAGCATGGCTCGGTGAGAAGATGTGTGTGTATTAGGAAGTTTTAAGTCCTCGCGAATTTGGCGGGGCCAGATATCCTGGAGCTGAAGATCATTACCGGATCTAAACACATTCGACATGATGCTCCAGCTTGCATTCTCATCCCTCACCATGTACTATGATTGGGAGGAAGAACCTAGGTTAACAGGTTTCAATGTTATTTGATCCTCATAAATAACCCTTAGAACAGTGGGTAGGATTCTGTGCATATGTGCTTGGAGGTCGGTTGGTCCGCGTTGGTCGGTCCGGATTGGCCAGCCGTGTTGGTTGGTCCGCTTTGGTCTGCGTTGGTTGGTTCAACTACAGTAGTTAATGCGCGGGCTGGCACCAACTTGACTCGGTAGTTAGCCGGTGTGAAACCCCGACTTCCGAAAATAAGTGGGGCCTGCACGGTTCCTAGAGAAAGTCAGGCACTTTACTGAGTGAGGTACATACATGAGGAACATTGAAGACTTGTGACGCTTTCCGCCACTGCCAAAAGGGTAATTCTATTATTACTGCCACCATTTCCGGGCAAAACGTATCTATAAGAAGACCGGTATCCTCGATAGTACTTCATTCCAGACAGAAAGGAACACGAGCAAGGTTTTCCCTAATGTTCAAGTAGTCACGGCTAGCTATATCCGTACACCGGCTTCCTATTCCTTCCTCCACGATGAAAACGGAGAAGCCTATATCTTGTCTTCTAGCTGTAGAAAGCCTCTCAAGGTTGTTGTCTCCGAAACCCCGCACCCGACAGGTTGGGACCAATGCGATCTCCAGCATGAGTAAACTCGCTATGTCCTACATTCACATTACTAATCGGCCCGCCTTCCGATCCACGGCACACTGTTTATTGGTTCTGACACGAATAGGTTCCCGTTGGGCAAATTGGAGTGGACCTGATTTTTACGACGATCTTCAAGATTGCGGGCGGGCCGCCGCCGGACAATCCTACTCAGCGGGGTAGACGCACTCTTGACCCGCGCGAATGACCCCACGTTAACGCTCCTATGTCTATATTTCTACGTGAACTAGGATAATACGACGATATACAGATTAGTGATTTGGCTCTATAGAATGTAATCACTATTTTGGTCGCTAAGCCGTCGGCTGACTTCATCCTCCGCTACCCTGAACTGCCGCCGACGTGAAGTTCCTCCAGCGGTGCGCCTGGCCCTCTTTCACTTCCGTCTTCCTGAGAAAATGCTGCTGTCCGAAACCCGCCTCTGCTTCCTCCTCTACTTGACTGCCTCTCTTCTCTTTACCATATAGTATAGCTGAGAGAAAGAGATAGTAATCTCCCCAAAATGCCATCAATTCCAGGATAATCATACTGGTTTCCAAAATCCTGTAACCCGATACGGAGGGTCCACTTTCCATTGACCAAGCTACCGTCTTCTGCCCGAAATGTACCACCCTCATCCGTCTGAGCTGCTTCAAGTACAGCTATCCCATCTGCGTCTTCAACATGTCTTGGCCGACATACCATAGCCTTTTCTTCCATCCCCTTGATCTTCCGGTACTCCAGGTCGATTCCAATAACGGCTTGGTCAACCCATTTGATCCCAGGATATAGCCGACCGCTAGTAACGGTAGATCTTTGCACTTTTGCGAGTAGGAAACTTCGAGGATGACGCTGGGCTCTGTCGCATTGTCATGCGCAAATGATCAATATGGGATATGACGCTCTTCTTCTTTGCCGATAACCTGAAGGCTTCCCCTTGCTGTTATCTTTCGAGCGAAGTCAGCAGCGAACTAGTCGTTCCCTCGCTTGAAAATATCTAGCCGTCGTAAGATCTGTCTCTGAAGTTGTGTAAAACAAATTCGTGCATATCATCCGCCATACGTAGGGCAAACTTGGTGAGCCGAGGGAAGTAGAAGTAGTCGTACCTGATTAGACAAGGTTAGTCGATGCTAGATAAACAATGAATAAATAACGTACTTGACTTGATCTGTAACAAAACCGTAAAGGTCCTCATCCGCCCTTATGCGTGCCTCGAGAGTCTAGAGCTCGTCAAATGCGAGACTAACACACCACCACTCTAACTCCCCTTTTGGTTGGCCACGATGACGGTTGTGAAGCTCGGCGATAATTCTATCAATTCTCGTTTGTCTCGTTTGGGGCGCGGTGAGGAGTGTAGGGACATTGGCGTTGCAGGTGCTCAACCACTAGGGCTATCGGAACGTCATTGCCGTCACTAGTTCAATGTGGCGGTTGGGTGCTGCTATGACCTCTGATTACAAGGACAGCGATATAGCTAGGAGGATATTGACTGGAGTCAACGCGAAGGGCGATCCGCGAGTGCCGTTTATCTTTGACTGCATCGGCTCGCTGTGGGGCGCTGTCGATCCTATTCGGAAGATTGCCGAGCGCGGAAGCAGAGTTGCCATACACTTGCTAGTCATTGTCCACGATACTATAGGACCGAAGCTCCAATCTGTGAGCTGAATGTGAACAAGTGCCATGAGGGCAAGCAGGCGGGTGGCGTAGCCCTGCGTGGCATACAAATACAGTTTTATGCACAGGTAGGCATGCTGCCGAGTCTCGAGACGGCGCGTCCATGACTAATCTAGAGATCTGGTAGAAGGACTTTTCAAGGATCATCTCCAGCCCAAGATCATACCAGCCCAAGCGCAGAGGGCATTCGTGTTGAACAAGGGATATCAGCTCGGATCCTAGTCCAGCTGGCAGCCAGGATCCTAGTCTAGCTGAATGAAATTTGACGATGGATCTTGTAAAATATACCAGAAATATCAGATATAAAAAGGGCTGGAATTCCTCCATAGAAACGGATCTATTGAAAGGATCCAAGCAGCGAATACGAACAGCATATTACCCCAATATTTTCCCTCTGTTCAATAATTCGATCTTGTAAGGAAACGGAATCCGAGTGGTGAGAGGCTGGCTTGGAGGATTCCAGAGTAGGACATCCCAAGGTTTGGGATCCGCTTGCGGCTGTAGGGAGTCGTAATTCAGAATGTTGTTAGTCTTTCAAGGCTACGCCGTGTCTGGGGACTAATCTAGTTATCTTAAAGAAAGTGGTGAGAATACCAACAACTTAGTACTACCATGATATTCACACCCGCGAGAAGCTCCTCGGTCTTATCAATCTTTATCTTAGAGTGAGAAACCAGCTAATAAGAGCAAAGGCTCGTTGGCATTGATAGCCAGCACACCGATATATGTAGGAGAGTTGGATAAGGATGAATGTCGACAGTGAGATAGCGGAATTATGAAGGTATGCCCAGTGCCTGTGCAAGTCGTCGGTCCATTGTATCATAAGGCTCGAGGGGGATGCGCCGATGCTCAATGTCAAGGGCTAAGTCGAATGTAGGTTCAGAACCCGGCGCATCTAAGGTGTCTAGAAGGGTGCATGCCACGTTGGCTGTGTAGTGATGTAAGTATTTGCATAGACTCTGAGATACGAGGAGATAGACCTATAATAGCATCGTATTACTTAATAAACGTGTTTAATGGAGAGTCTATGTTAGAGGAATGACACATACAGTAAGATAGCCAGGGGATTCATTTAATCTGTCGCGTAGTTTCTGGCGACGCCTCTCCTTCTGTGCTAGTGCTATTAGAATAGCAACGAAGTAGGGATCCTTAAGGCTATCCGGGGGCGTGGCGCTTTAAAAGTTTCGAAAAAGCGAGAAAATAGGTCTGTTGGCTCTCCCAGAACAGTGGCGAGTTGGCTGGAGATGCTTACGCCGCTTCACCTGGTGCAGTGTAATGTCGAGGTGCGCGATAAAGAGTATCTCGGGCTTTTGGCGAGGGTCGGCTACATAGATAGGGTATAGGGAACATGGCAACGAGGCGACGGAATGTCTACTGAAGTAGAATTGGATACTTTCGCTGTACGATAGTAACCAGTTAATCTAGGTAGAAAAGGAGAGCGAGTTAAAGAGGATGGTGAGGGCTCTCGTTATCTTACTGTCTTGTAAAAGGACGGCTGCTGATAGAGTGAAGAATGCCCTCGATAGACAGCATCCTCTCGAACCAGTCCCGACCAAAGGCCAAGTTCGCAGCAGGACCCATATCCCATATCTGGGCATCGGTCGGCCGGACAGTCGTCTCTCCTATCTTGTTGTTTTTCTCTTCCACGGGACCCCGCAGCGTTTCGTCTGTACTGTCGCCAGTGTCGACGAATTTGCATCCTAGGAGAGAAAGTTGGCGCTCACTCCAAAGGAATGGATGGACAAAGAGACGCTCGCGAGGGTAGAGGGCCATACGGCCACGAATCGACAATATCGTGCTAGTAGTATCGTGCAATATCGACTCATTTTGACCCAATTCACAATCCGTCGAATGACTATCGCGATCCATAGTGGATTCCAAAGTTCGATTCATGAATAGGTTGTTGGGAAACTGAGCTGCCGAGCGTCGAAGGCAGAGGTGAAGGAGGGAAAAGATTATCAATACAAATCTTTTTAACTTGATACATCCTTACATTATCCAGCTTAAGGTTTAGCTAAGATTTATCCATAGCGGCCCCCATTGTTCCTAGAATAGATCCATATTTACGCGTGAATTTTTAGATTAAAAGCTAGATTTAGGGTGAGTTCTGTATGTGAACAAGAAGTAGCGAGAGATAATTCAGAATCGAATGACGTATTACTATGAATTTTATCGGTATTGTTGGTATGAGATAATTGTATCATGGCCTGGCCAGTTGCAGGCATGGCCGAGCGCTTAGGTATGCGTATAGAGCAGCATGCTGTCGCGGCGGTCGGTTCGCGAAAGCAAGTCAACGACACACATCTCCTAAAACAGCGGGGCGAGGGACAACGGCCATTCTGCCAGCCAGTCAGATTATGGGAAGAGAGGTTTAAAGCGGACCGGCCGGTTTAGAGGGCCATTCAGGCAGGCTTTAGGGCACTATGAGTATGAAATGAGTCGACTACAGCTCTCCAGCGCTACAAGAAACACCTCCTGTCGCATCAGACCATTGAGCAATCCCTATCAGCTAAAATAAGCTGGTTTACCATGCTATCTGATTGGCCTGGGGGAGAGCTGTTGGTTCTTTAGCTGGCCAGACCCGGGAGGAGTCGGGCCAGGCGGAACCTGATTGTAGGGGCACTGACTGTGATGATTTAGTTCATATCGTCAAGCAACATAGAGTATCCTATATACCACCTAAAGAATAATGGTGGGCGCTTGCCAGCCTAATCATGTATACCTCTGGGGGTCCTCTATCAAGTTGGTCTCGACTCACCGAAAGCAGGGATGATAAGCATCATGTGGACTTAAGCTAAGGATGTGGTTGGGGGAGGTACGAGATAACAAACCACTGGGAACGTCGATCTGACTTTGACCCCATATATGTATCTCATGCTAACTGAGGCGATTATCCCGTCTGGTTAATAGGCCCTCTCGAAATAGCTCTCTCACAGATCGCCGCCCAGCGACTAGATGAGGGTTTTCCCGTTCGCAACACTGGAAAGTGGGTAGCGAAGCTGGTGGCTGGCGTGTCGAGAAGTGCTTTGGCCCGACTGGGCGTCTGCCTGCCACGATGAATGAACGGTAAGGAAGCGTCATCTTATCTAGGATTAGATCCAGCAAGGCAAACGATGAGCTATCATATCTTCAGGAGGTAGCTCTACTTAATCAAAAGCTGGGAAATTACTCCTTCTCCTTTTCATACTACGAAGATGGCCTTCAGATACTATCACGCAATACCACCGCCGTCAAGGCTCGCAGACACGAAATGAGTCACTCAAGATGCAGCAGGAGCGGATACCTATCTAGGAGGAGGTAGATCACCGTGCTACGAGAGGCGGCAGGGTAGGAGAGGGATGTAAGGGAAAAGGCTACTACCTATGCAGTTACCAACACATACGAGCGCTTCCTTACCATAGATAGACGGGCTGGAATTGCGCTTAGACCCAAACAGACTACTAGGAGTCCTTCGTATAGTAGAGCAGGTCGTTTCCCGTACTTATAGTCCTGTCAGACAGTGGCAAGCGCCATCAGAGATGGCATAATGCGCTCGTGTTCCCGATTCAGCGTCACTAGTTGCTTGGTTTCCTAAACTTTCATAGAGGGAGACCAATATCGTCTCGCTTCGAGACCATCAGTGCTGGGAACTAGGTATACTCATAACTTTTTTGTCGCACGGGGAGGGGAACTCTATGCTGGTATACCTGCTGGGGGTCGTAGGGTTAGGTGAGATTGGGGGTTTTGCGGTTCAAGATATCAAGCCTAGTGAAGATATCACTGTCACCTATAGTGGCGATTGCTCCGGTGACGGCAACTGCGAGTGCCTGTGTAGGTCGTTCGAGCCTCCAAATCTAACGGATAGAAGTCCAGGAAGCGGCGGGTACGTCATGAAGAGCATAGGAAAGGAATATGCCCTATGAACAGCACCACAATCTTATGCTCGCATCGCAAACATCAGCAGCTGTATCAACGTCCCTGGCCTAGGACATCCGGGGTAGTTATGCCCTCCAGGGTCTCAGGACCCAGGACGAGAAGCAATAGGAGCGAGCCAAAATATTTCCAGTTTCGACAGGATAATGTGGGCTACAGCGTCAAGTCAAGTCCGGATCGTAGCGGTGAGAGATATCGTGGTCGGCGAGGAAGTCAGACTATTAAGTGACTAGGAATCTGCGAATTGTCAATCTTAGGTGTTAACGACCTAGGGCGCAAGGCCGACGCGACAGATCCAGGTACGGTCTGCCCGTAAAACCTTGTGGTTCATCCTATACGAGCCACCTCCTGCATGCATTATGTGGTAGAGTGGAAGCTAATATTGGATAAAAGATTAGCCACGAAGCAGACTGATGATTCTGGGAAACCAAACATCCAGCTCCATTCGGGCAGAAACGTGGTCACCGGAGACGACGTAAGGACCTGTCTCCCTCCAGTGTAGCAACGCGTCTATACTAGCAAGACACCGGTGAAAGAGCCTCAAAAATGGAGCCTCAAAAATGGAGCCTCAAAAATGTCAGTAATTCGTATTGCATGGTTAACTTCGTCCCAAAGTTATTGCAAGAAGTTGACACTCTCGGAAGAGTATTTGATAGGCTTATAATTGAGGGCCCTTCTAGTATGAAGTAGGTAGGATGGTGTTCTTAGGGATGCGACGAGCCCTCATATGGTAGTAGTCTTCATATGTCGTGGTATGGGCCGGCCAACCCTATGTTAGCTTCTACGAGTTTCTAGTTGTCCATTCATTATTCTCCTGGGGGATATATCTTAATACAAATGCGGGTTGACTATCGAGATGACTTTTAGTATATATTACCGCAGTCGCATTTTACTCATTTTAAGCTTACTACGTATTAGCCTGGTCCGAACTTGATGCAACCCTCAAGTTGATTTGCCGCTAGTAAGATTGACAGAAATAGCGTGTAAGAGAACTAAGCGCTAGAGGCTCAGATATGCCTTCGAGTCTGGCTAGCCATCCAGGGAGAAACAACAGCGCTTGGGCATGTGGCGACCGTCGGATATGCAAGGTAACTGGCCGTAATGCTCTGCTTTCTTCGGCCAATCTGAGGCTCTGGATCTTCTTATAAGACTGGTGGTTCATGACCAGGTTGTACTGAATGATACAAAAGCTAATACTAAAGACTATAGGCAAGTCCGACCCAGTAGCTATCGAACCTATGATGTGATGATTACAATTTTAGGGCAAAGGACCTATCCCAAAAGTTTTATCAGGAGCACGGCGGAGATACGAGAAGACACTGGGTTATTATTGCTCATCTCTCTTATAATAGTGCCTCATGGCCCGCTGTCGGCGGGGCGGAGCTTGCCGCGTACCCTACGGGTTCTTTCCGAGTACACTCCTTAAAAATATCCATGGATGCCAGTGGATCAGATGTGAAGTAGCCGTGAGTCATGGGTAGACTGTACTAGATGTGAGATATTCGCTGCTTTTATCCCCCATTCTGGCCTTCGATCTTCCTGCGGGCTTCCTTCGACCGTGCTCGTGTGAACCATCCTAGCTAAAAGCTGAATTTCCAGTTCATTCCAGTGGAAAGCTACATTACAGTCCATTACAGCTAAAAGCCGCAGTAGTGGTTTATCATAGCTGAAAGCTGCAGCTGCAGCTGCTCGACCACTCACATAATAGCTGGCGAGCGCATCGCTGCTATTGTGCTGTCACGATGCGTCGTACGTCAATTCGTCCACCAAGGGCCCAACAGTATCCACACTGTTGCCAGCGTGTTGCCGTCATTGCGCAACTGCATCGCCTGACTGCATCCGCTTTGTAGATCCTACACCTTCCTCTGTTGTATCGCGGGAACCTCCATGCTCCCTGTCCTCGCCGCCGCATCGATATTTGGTCTTATCTGTATTAACCTCTAATCAACAGCTGTAGACTTAGGAACCCGATTAACATGTAGTGAGTATTACCTTAACCACTGTAGCTAGAGAGCTTTGTAGGCAGTGGTAGGTTCCTTAGGTGCCTGCGCTGCTGCAGACATCGCCTCCTTAGAAGCGGCTCGGAGTTCACTGCGAGCGGCCTCGTACTCAGTGGCTATCCGCCGCTTCTCAGCGTTGGACATAGAGAAATCGTTCTTCGCAGCCTTACAGATCTCTGAGATCTCGTCATACTTTTGCTGGTACTCCGCCACGCTAGGCATGGTGGCAGATCGATAGTCAGAGTGGTAAGGAATCTAGACTGAAGTTCGAAAGGATGTGAGGAGATAAGTTCCAAGTTAATAGGGTGTGGTGGGGGAATTTTAGGCGTATAGAGTAGCCTAAGCAGGGATCTTACAAAAACGTCAGTACATCTCAACTTTACTAAGAAAAGTCAACGCTAAGTCTATCTCAGGCGTCCTCACAGCCTTATAACCTTCTCTAAGCCTCGATAGCTCACCCATATCTACAAATCCCTACCGCCTTCATGCCCCCAAAAAGTCCTCCTCATCCGCATCAGAGGACTTAAAGAACATGTAAAAAAATCTCAATACATCTGCCGGGGCTGTAACAAACAAATTTTCGATGAAATAACTTGTTGGTGGGCGCTGGACCCCCGGATGACACATCTCCCTTAGAAATCTACATAGCCGGCCCTATGGCTAATGATGACAATGACCCCAAGTAGTGCCCAGCTTCTTTATTCTATATCTCATACAGCTGCTTATTTAATAGGAGCATTTAGTAATACAATATAAGGAATAGAAGGAGCAATAGTTTTAGGTTTAGCTTATAGATTTATATCTAGTAGTCTATTTATATATATTAGAGGTATCTTATATAAAAGAATATTAATAAAATAAGCTTATATTATAAACTAGTTTTAATCTCTAATAAAGAAATAGCTAAATATAATCTTTTCCTCTTTTATATATTTTATTTTATAATAATATTAGTTTGTTAAAATAGCTATTTTTATAAATATATTTTTCTTTTTATATTTTATATATATTTTTTAACTATTAATTATCTTTTTTCCTCTTTTTCTTCCTTCTTTTTCTCTTCTTTTAATTTTAATCTTTATTTAATATTATATATTTTTATATATATATAATTTTCCTTTTTTATTTATTATCTCTTTTTATTTTATTTTTATTTTTATTTTATAATTATTTTAATTTATTTAATTTATTTTCTTTTAAAATACTTATTACCCTATTTTACTATCTTTCTTATAATATATAGTCTTTCTTCTCTTTTATAGTAATAAGGTAAAAAACCTCTAAGGTACTAAAACCTCTATCCCCTATTATCTACCTACTTTTATAATATTCTTTATAAATATAAATATATATATAAAGTTATTTTATTTTAATAATATCTAGTTTTTCTTTTATTATTATTTTTAAATAAATAATATTAAAAATATATAATTTAAAGATAATAATTTTATTTAAATTTAAAGGTTTTATATTATATATTATATATTAGTTATAGTTATCTTTTTATATTATAATATTTTCCCTTTTACTTAGTTTATTTTATATTTTATTTACTTTAATTTATAATTAGTTTATTATATTCTTTTAGTTTTTACTAAATTATATATAATCTTATAATTTATAAATATCTATTATCTCTTTTATTATTATAGCTTTTATTTTTATTATCTCTATATATAATAAGTTATCTATTAAAAGCTTATAAATATCTTTAAGCTTTATTAATTATATATTAAAGTTATAATCTATTATATTAAACTTTTAAAAATATTATAAGACCTTTAAGTTATTATAAAAGAGATTTATAATAGAATAATATATATATTAACTTTATTATCTATTTAGTTTAAAGTTATTATAATATTAAAAAGTTATCTTTTATCTTCTTTTTATAACTATATAACCATAACTTTTACCTTTTCTATATCTCTTATATATAAACTTCTTATTCTTCTTATAATATCTTTACTATTTTAAATAAAGCTTTTTACCTAATTATTTCTCTACTTTAATCTAATAATATTAAAAGCTTATAATAAACTTTTCCTTTTAATAATAATATTATTACCTTTTATAGATTTATTTTATAAAATCTATTAACCCTTTTATTTTATCTTTTTAAAACTATATTATCTTTTATCTAAATAGAGATCAATTAAAATATAAAATATAAAGTTTACTAAAATATTATTAATAAATAGCTACCTACCCTTAATAATCTATAACCTACCTAAAATCTAATTCTAATATTAGAATTAGAATTAAAATACTTAAATTACTTAGAAGATAATAATAGATAGAGTATATCTTAATAAAAGATATTAATATTATATCTATTTAAAAATATATTTTTAATATATTATAATATAATATTATAAAAACTTAATATATCCTTCCTATAACTTTTCTATAATAACCTACCTTTATTAAGGTTTCTATAGGAATATACCTACTCTACTAATAAATAGATAGTAATATATTATACCTCTAAACCCCCTAACTAGCCTTAGACTATAGCCTACTAATATACCTAAAAATCTAAGATCACTATATATTACTTTAAAGAGCTTATTAAGCTCTATAAGGAAGAAAATAATATATATATTAAGAATATAGGTATAAACTAATATAAGCTTTAGAAAGACTTTACTAGTAAAAGCTAACCTAGAAAAATCCTTATATATATCCCTATAAGAAAAGGGGCCTTAACCCCTAATATATATTAGGCCTATACTCCTTAATAAATACTAACCTAACTACTAGTAACTATATAACTACTATAGGTAAAGAGGAGAAAAATCTTCCCCTTTCTATTATATTAAGGTCTAGCTACTAAATAATATTAAAGATATTATTTATAGAAAAAGATATATAAGTAGGATTACTAATATATAATAATATACTATAGAAGAGGTAATTAATAAGATCTAATAAAAAAGGGAGGTTATAGAGATCTTTATTACTTATATAGTTACTATTATTAAATATATATTAAAGGAGTTCTTATCTAAGATATAGTATATTAATATAATTAAGGAGGACTTTATCTATATTATCTAGTATAGAACTAAGATATTAATAGGAGAACTTCTAGAGATAATAATAATATACCTACTAATAGCCCTTAGGCCTAGACTTTAGAATAGTAGCTAGGTAAATATAGCTTAAACCTCTACTACCCTACTAATATTACCTTAAGTAAAGGTAAAAGATAAATAATAATAAGTACCTTTTAAGCTTTAGCTATAGCTATAGCCTTAATAAGCTAACCTAGAGAAGAGAAGGGAGGAAGACTAGAGGACCTTTATCTAATATACCCTAGAAGTAGTCTAATAACTTAAAGACCTTATTACCTTTTTCTATATCTAATAAAATATTATAGCTTATATAGGCCTATAATATTAAGATATCTTTAAAGTAGAATAAACCTAATCTAATACTACTATTACTATTTAACTATTAGAATATTAATAAAAGATTATTAATATAGAAAGTAAACTAGTAAAAGCTTTATAAATAGTATAGATTAAATATATAAAATATTAATATTATTATATTATATTATATATAATATATATTATATAAATAAGATTACTTAAAGATTATCTATTAAGAGGTAAAAATAGGATAAGATAAGACCTAATTAATATCTAGAAGTTTAATAACTATAACTAATAAGATATAGATATATAGTAAATTACCTTCTAAACCCCTTAAAATTACTATTCTACTTTTTAAGACCTCTATATAGTCTTAAAAGAAAGAGGAGAAAGCTTTAATCTACTAATATAATTACTATTAGAACTTCTATCTAACCTATATCTATTAGTATAATACTAAATACCCCTAGTATAGAGATATAGTTTATAATATATTAAACCTCTATAAGCTAAAATACTTAAACTATAATAAACTATATAAAGCTATATATTAGAAATACCTATTAAGACTTTAAAGAGAAAAAGGAAAAGTAGCTAAACTAACCTTTAACTAGGTTAGATAGATCTAAAAGGAGGGTCTCTACTAATAATAAGTACTTATATATATATATATTAAACCTACTAAAGTAGCCTTTATTAATAAGAACTTTAATATTTTAACTAAAACTATACTTATAGCCCTTATTACTATTAAAGTAGATAGTAGAATAGGATATATAACTTTAAATATTAATAAAGACTTTAATATTATAATAGTAAATACCTTTTTAACTAACTTCTATAATAACCCCTAAGATAACCCCTAAAGTAACCTCTAAGATAACCTTTAAGATAGCTTTTAAAATAACCTTATAAACCTTAAGAAGCTACCTAACCTCCTATAGGTAGTAGAACTATAGCTATTATTACTAGTAATAAGATAAACCTTCTTAGATATATAGCTAATAGTAGTTAGTAAGGTAAGACCTCTATCCCCCTCTTATAAACTAATATAATAATAGATATTATTATAAAATATAAGCTTTTAAAAAAGATATCTTTTTTATCTAATAGAATATTAGAAAAGGAAGAATATCCCTATATATATTAATTACTATTACTATTAAATAGGAACTAATCTATAGAACCTTAAAGTATAAAATCTAAAATATCTTAAGATATAAGAAGTTTATCCTAATATTAAGATAAGGTATAATCTAAGTTCTAAAAGTAGTTATATATATAAAGATTAGATTACTAGCTTAATAGATACTATTACCTATATTAAGATATAAAGATATACTCTTAATAAAGGTTAAGAAGATAACCTTCTTTAACTTTTATAAAAATACTTTAATAAACCTTAATACCCCTAAGTTATATATTAATATATAGATAGACCTCTTAATAATAGATTAGAACCTCTTAGAGAATATTACTATCTATAAGGACTTTAATACCTTATATTATACCTAAAACCTTATAGACTCTTAGATAAAATAGTAAAGAGATAAAATAATAGATTAGATAGAAAAATATAACTTATAACTAATAAATACCTTTAAATAGACTATATATTAGATAAAAGGTAGAAAGGGTATTATTATAAACCTAATATTTATATCTATACCTTACTTTAACTATAAAACTAATATAATAACTAATATTATTCTCCCCTATAGACTAATAGTTAAGACTTTCTAACTTTAATATATCTAACTAGGGGTATATTATCCTTACCTAAATAAATATATACTCTTTAATAAGCTAGAGGTATTTTAAGAAGAGCTAATATATATAATT